CAACCACTAAAACATTGTAGCTTATGGGTCTTTATTTGCAATAAAATGTAAATGTACACGTTAATCATTTAGAGTGTGTTTGGTTGACTTTATTTTTTATAGAATATTTCATTTTTCATCCAAATTCCTACTTTTGGAGTGTTTGATTGACAATTTTTTCACGAAAAATATTTTTCAACTTTCAGTAATGTGATCATATTTTTCTCAAAAATAAGAAAAATATTTTTCCTTAGGGATGAGCAATTTTTATTTTTCAGGTAATTCACCCTCTCTTTCTCTCTCCCATCTATTATCTAATAAAAAATGGACAAATATAATAATTTCTACATTGAAAAATTAAATCAGCCTAGCACGTTTAATTAATAATTTCCATACAAATAAGTTATAGACAATTGACTTCAGTAAAATTTATTTTTTTTTCATGTAAATTCCATATTTGCAATCAAATGTATCCTTACAGTTTTAAAAATATTTTAATAAAAATTATAGTACTAATTTTAACAAAGAAGAATTGAATATTTAACAAAATAATGACAAATAATTTAAAAACTATAATTTTATCTCAAAGAAAAAAAATTATACTTTAAATTTTGTCTTAGAATTTTAAGCACCGATTCAACTAGTAACTCGAGACTCAATATCTCGCCTCTTAGTCAGGTTGATGTTTGGATTGAGTCTAATAACTATGGCCTTAATCCCAAATTTGGATCCACCCAGTCCCATTTCGTTCATAAGAGAGGAACATGACGATCTTTCTTGAACCCACTTATCTCCATCTCTGATAAAGAAAAATATTTGTTGTACATTACCATTTACAAATTTTTTACAGATTAATAAGACGTCAAAAAGAAAGTGGGGGACTTTTTTTCTTTTACTCTTAGTTGATGAAATTTAGACTCAATAAAATTTCATCGCATCATCTATTAATAAATAAAATTTATAAATTATAATGTACATGTAGTATAATTGAAATAATGTCAAGGACGATTAGTAATAAATCACTAAAGAAAAGAAAAGAGGGGTTAAAGAGAATGATAAATCTCCAAGTACAGGGGAATTTATTACAATGGACTTACAGGCCCCTCACAAGGGGTCGCGGTCCAAGGTCTCAAGTGTATTAAAAAAAAAGAAATTTGCAGCGGGCCCTACCATGTGAGACACGTGTAATGCGTATGTAAAAACCTCACTGTACTTCAAGCATTGTCCTAAAGACAATACGAAAAATAAAAAAACCTGGACACGGTGCTATTGAAAAATATGATACAGATGAGTGCTAAAATTGGAAGACCCTAATTCTTAAAGACTTTTTTCTGTCTTGCCCACATATAAACTGGCGCGGAAAACCCTAATTCCTTAACCCTCGCCTCTCCCTCACCCTCACCCTCTTCCTCAACTACTACCAAAACCTACTTACACATATACCGAGATAGAGAAGTTGTGAGGGCTAGTAATGGCGCTGTACATACTGTACGAGTCGGCGTCGGGTTACAGTCTGTTTCTTGCGCACGGTCTTGATGAAATTGGGCAGAATACGGAGGCGGTTCGGGGGTCCGTGTCGGACCTGAACCGGTTCGGAAAAGTGGTTAAGCTAGCTGCCTTTAGTCCCTTTGAGTCTGCCCTTGATGCACTCAATCAATGCAATGCCGTCTCTGAAGGTAAAAAAAGAAGGCTTACTTATAGTTGATTCTGACGTTCAATTTTAAAAACGTATAGTTTGTCGTGCTTCAAAAGTTTTACCTTGATATAGTTTCTATAGAGTTTGGTGTTTTTTTCTAGGAGCATGTGTATCTTTATCACTGTATGTGAAGGAAAGGATAACAAGAGTTGAAAGAAGAAAAATGCAAGCCTCCTTTGTGACGGCTGGGGGTGGAGCAAAGTAGCTTCAGTCAATGGGGTTCAATTTTTAGATTTGTCAATTTCTAAATATTTTTAGGCGCTCTTTTTAGGGGCATTCCATCACAATTCACAAATCATATAAAGAAATGGAAAATATAATAAATTAACTAATTAAGGGAGAAAAGTCGAGAATAAATTGAATAGGTGTTTGCAGTGTTTAAAAAGGCGGTATCTGGTGCCGAGGGGGCATTTTCCTTCGTGACATGCCTCATTGTGAAACAAAAAGTAAAAGTTGAAAAGAGTACAAAAATGAACATGTAATAAATAAAATTTCCAAACAATAGAACAACTTAAAGTAATAAAACAAAAGAACAACTTAAAGTAATAGTGCAAAGACGTCTCCGCCTGAGTGATGCAGTTCTAGGGTTTTAGTGTTGTTTGACATGTATTGTGTGATTTCTTTAGCCCGTGCTCGACAATCACTATTTTCAAACTCTTTTTTCTACATACTCATTTTCGGCCCCACATTCACACTATAGAATATTCTACACGCGCTCCAAAACTTTTGCCTACTTGTTAACCGGATGTTCTCCTAAAAATACTATTCGAAACTCTATTTTCCCCAAATAATGGTAGTCAAATAGGGGCTTATATGTGTTGTTTGATTGAACTTATAATGTATTTTTATCTGTATCATTTAATATAATCAAATCATTAGTTAGGTTTTGATACATAAATATTTTCAAGATAATTTAATCATAAATTCAATGAAATTTGGTAAGTTCTATAAAAATATAGTAGATTCCTGAATCTGTTTAAAATATATAGTGGATTTCCAATGAAGTCAACCAATGAAATATGAGAACTGAGAAGAAAGCTCACGCCTAACTCTATTTTAGGTGTGCACCTTGAGGCTATGCCTCACTAAAGATGTAAGCCTCATTATCCCTCTTAAATATACTGCCCCAGTATTATTTCTCACCCCGCTTCGAGGCACGCAACCATGAGTATTTGCTATTAGCTATGATTTTTTATATTTGTTGATCATCAAGAGTGAGAATGTTTTTTCAATTTTTTGAATCATTTCATGGATATATTACTTATCTGTTGCGTAATTTCTGTGAGAATAATGCTGTCTCTAATGACGTGGGTTTTAGGGCAAATGACCGATGAGCTGAGAAGCTTTTTGGAGCTTACTCTCCCAAAAGTTAAGGAAGGGAAGAAGCCTAAATTCAGTTTGGGAGTGGCAGAGCCTAAACTTGGGTCTCATATTTGTGAAGTAACTAAAATCCCTTGCCAAAGCAATGAATTTGTCCTTGAGCTTCTTCGAGGCGTGCGCTTGCATTTTGATAGGTTCATTGAAAACCTAAAGGTTTGCAATTTCTCAATCTTCTGTCTTAAAATTAATAATGCTTGCAGATTTTCTTTCTGAAATAGCTCCTTTGGTTTATTTGTTTACTCATTCTTTCCCTCCAAAATATAAATAGCCTGGTGATTTAGAGAAGGCACAACTGGGTCTTGGTCACAGCTACAGCAGAGCAAAGGTCAAGTTCAATGTGAACCGTGTTGATAATATGGTTATTCAGGCTATCTTTCTTCTTGATACTCTCGATAAAGACGTCAATTCCTTCTCCATGAGAGTCAGGTCAGTGTGTTTGTCACTCTACTGCCTTTCCGTGTCACATGGAAAATTGCTGACTTTAGGTTTGACTATCTCTTTATGCATAATGGCTATATACTAGTTAGACTTTTTCATTGTAATTCTTCAATTTCTAATGCACAAAAGTAAATACTCATATTTGCATGTTTATACGAGTTTTGCTCTAGAATCATGGTCTCTGTTACTTCTGATGTTGCAGAGAATGGTACTCTTGGCATTTCCCTGAATTGGTGAAGATTGTTAATGACAATTATCTGTATGCCAAAGTTGCAAAATATGTGGAAGATAAATCTCAGTTGTCTGAAGACCATTTATCAGGCTTAACTGACATAGTTGGGGACGAAGATAAAGCAAAGGAAATTATAGAAGCTGCCAAAGCATCCATGGGTACAATTTCTTATTTTTCCGAGAAATGAAATGCATGTCATTATTATTGACCTGGCATTCCTTACTTTATCAGGACAGGATTTGTCGCCAATTGACTTGATTAATGTCAAGCAATTTGCGCAAAGGGTGATGGACCTTGCAGAGTATAGGAAGAAGCTCTATGATTATCTTGTTGCCAAAATGAATGATATAGCACCTAATTTGGCTGCACTGATTGGTGAAGTCGTTGGCGCTCGATTGATTTCTCATGCTGGAAGTCTCACAAATTTGGCAAAGTGTCCTTCTTCAACTCTTCAGATCCTTGGTGCTGAGAAGGCTCTCTTTAGGTATTATACTTAAGTATCATTCCATAGGTGGTTGTACAACATGCCTTTGTGACTTTTAACTTGAGGTTTTGCAGGTGAAATATTGAATTAAAGTAATACAAAATTATCTGCTCTCTCATGAGAGTCAGAATTGCTGATTTTAATGAAAGCCAGAAAACCTTGTTGTGCTTGACTGTTTTCGCTTTAATAATTTTGATGTGGATTAAAAGCAATGTGGAAAAGATCGTGAGCAATATGCAGAACCATGGGAACCCTGGAAAAACTTAGTTTTCCTTTATTAGTTTTGGTTCCTTTGCTTATATTATTCTGTGGTCAGGGCACTGAAAACCCGTGGGAACACTCCAAAATATGGTCTTATATTCCATTCCTCCTTCATTGGCCGTGCTTCTACTCGGAACAAAGGCCGTATGGCTCGTTATCTTGCAAACAAGTGCTCTATTGCTTCTCGTATTGACTGTTTCTTAGGTGAGTCCTTACTCATTTAGAAAAGACAATAGTTAGTTATCTCATCTTGCACATGCAACAAATTGTTAACATATTCTGATCTCTCACTGGCGCAGAGAAAAATACTACTGCTTTTGGAGAGAAGCTCCGTGAACAAGTTGAGGAGCGTCTAGACTTCTATGATAAAGGGGTTGCTCCTCGTAAAAACCTAGATGTGATGAAATCTGCTATTGAAACTGTTGAGAGCAAAGGTGTGCCTAATACACTGAGGATTACAATCTCATTTCTGAAAGTTACAAAATAATATTCAAGAATTCTCTCCAAGACTCCAAATAAATATCCAGATTTTCAATTTCAGATGGTTTTATATTCACCGAATTCTTAATTACTATGTTTCATTAAGTTTGTTAAGTTTTAATCAGATATATGCATTTGCTCATATGTTTCAATTTGCCTTCCTTTTGGGATTCATCTTGATTTTTCTCTATTCATGCTTACTGTAGTACACTGTTAATCTTCGTGTAGGCTATGCACAGTTTGCTCATTCTCTATTATTATGTTTTCAGATACAGAAATGGATGTAGATGAACCTGTTGATGGACCTTCTGCGAAAAAAGGCAAGAAAAAGAAATCCAAAAGTGGAGCGCCCATGACTGAGGATAAGCCAGNTTAGGTGAGTCCTTACTCATTTAGAAAAGACAATAGTTAGTTATCTCATCTTGCACATGCAACAAATTGTTAACATATTCTGATCTCTCACTGGCGCAGAGAAAAATACTACTGCTTTTGGAGAGAAGCTCCGTGAACAAGTTGAGGAGCGTCTAGACTTCTATGATAAAGGGGTTGCTCCTCGTAAAAACCTAGATGTGATGAAATCTGCTATTGAAACTGTTGAGAGCAAAGGTGTGCCTAATACACTGAGGATTACAATCTCATTTCTGAAAGTTACAAAATAATATTCAAGAATTCTCTCTAAATAAATATCCAGATTTTCAATTTCAGATGGTTTTATTATATGCTGTCTGATGATCCTGCTATTCAGATTCACCGAATTCTTAATTAGTATGCCCCCGTTCATTTTTCAGTTTTCATCCATAAAAATGAAAAATATGACCGTTATCCATCACATCAAGCCATCAATTTTGAATTTCTATCTCTTATGTAGGGCCCAATAACGGTTATATTTTTCATTCTCATTCTACAATAATGAGAATCAAACGGCCTTATGTTTCATTTACTTTGTTAAGTTTTAATCAGATATTATGCTGTAGCTGAGCAAGTGCTTATTGCCCAGATTGGAAAAAAAGGAAAGATTCGAAAGTTCTGATGGACATAGCATTTGCATAGATATATGCATTTGCTCGTATGTTTCAATTTGCCTTCCTTTTGGGATTCATCTTGATTTTTATCTATTCATGCTTACTGTAGTACATTATTTATCTTTGTGTAGGCTATGAACTGTTTGCTCATTCTCTATTGTTATGTTTTCAGATACAGAAATGGATGTAGATGAACCCGTTGATGGACCTTCTGCGAAAAAAGGCAAGAAAAAGAAATCCAAAAGTGGAGCGAAGGAAGATGTTGAACCCCTGACTGAGGATAAGCCAGCAGCTGTTAATAATGGAGATGCTCCTGAAGAACCTAAAAGTGAAAAGAAGAAGAAAAAGGAAAAGCGAAAATTGGTACAAAAGGCAGATGAGGAAAAGAATGAACCTACAGAAAATGTAAACGGTGCAAATGGATTCAATGCAGAAAATGGAACGGCCAAAAAGAAGAAAAAGAAGAAGGAAGAAAACACCGAGGATCTTCCAGCTGCAAGTGAAAGTAAGAAGAAGAAAAAGAAATCGAGAAAAGAAGACAGCGATTAAACTCTGGTATGGAGATTGTTTTTCGGAATCCAGTAGTTGTTATCTGGATCGGTCAGATCTGCAGGTTTGAAATTTGAGGCATGGGGCTAATATGTGCTATGATATATGAAAAATCAATTTAGTCCCCCTCATGATGTGAACACAAATAGTTTCAGGGGCCTATCAAATATCTATCTATAGTAGTTGTTTTATGTTCCAGTGTTAATGCTGTTGGTAAATGCATGCACCCATTGCAAGATACTGTATTTTCTATTTGGCTACTTGCAATCAAAAGCATTTCCTGTCACTTTTCTAAATTAACCTTTTTTCCCAGGTTGTTTCACTGCTGACTAATTGTTTTTTGGCGTCTGTTTTCTTTTGTTTATTCTGTGTGTATATGCCTGCGTGTGTGTTGTTATATGACGTTGTTTGGTTGCGGAAGTAATGGACTGGCAGAGGCCTAAGCCCGACCATACTTACAAGGCTGGACTGGCTGCTACAAATTTCTTTATGGTTCTTCAATGGCCTATTGGTGCCGAGCTCTTTCTTTGCAGCCACAAAAATAAATCGAACTTACCTTACTGTCTATGGTTTGCGAGATTTTATTTTAAGGAATTGACACCTAATATAAATTGAACTTCAAACTAAAGAACGGAAAAGGCTGAACTTCAAACGAAAGAATTGAGAGTTTGTATTCAAGGGGACATTCTAAAAAAATTTAGGGATTTAACAAAAATAATAATAATTAAAAATACGAGTTAGACGTTTTTTTTATGACGTATGTTTGACGCTTGTTTAATTATTTTCGATATCTATTTGAACTATTCGATATGTTTATAATGTAGTCCTCGAAACGAGTTTTGAGATGATATAAGCAATTTGTAGATTCGACTATCGTAGGAGAATTTTTAAAGTAGCAAGTTATCGAAATTCTCGAAATATTAATTTATAACCGTCTATTTTGACAAGTCGTAACATTTGCTACGATTGATCGTTTCGTACGTCGTTAATGACATAAAAAACTAAACTGTGAATATTTCGAAATGGTATTAAGAATGCAATATTTCGATTTAATTTCACATCTTATAAAGATTTCAAAATTTTTTTTAAAAAAAGAGCAAAGTTGGGGGGCACGTGCCCTCAGGTCCACCCTTGGATCCGCTAGTGCATATACAAATACAAAGTAACCATATTAAGATCCCTTATTAGGAGGTGGTGATGTGTTAGTGATATAGTGCAATGGACTTTACTTGCGTGGTGTGGTGACGATTGCGAGGTGAAAGTAACATTTTGAATACAGAACTACGTGGTGGTGATAAGGTGACAATGGTATTTTTTGGTGGTGTCGATGGCGGTGGAAGAGGTGGTGAGATGGAGTGGATGAGATGAGATGAAGAGCAATTGTGATCGAGAAATAATATGTGATCTAAAAAATATGTGATTTATGATTAAATTTTAAATTATGATCGTGATCCATAAATAGCTTTAACCAATTAATTTGATAATTTGTGACTTGAAATAAGTTGTGACATATAAAATTTTTGATTTGTGATCGAAAAATAAATCGTGGTAAATTAATTTGATAATTTGTGATCGATAAATAAGTTGCGATTTATAAAATTTGTGATTTGTGTGCAGCCCCTTGTGTGAACTTTGAAGTGTAATTCATTTCCGGGTTAATCCATTTGTACATAATGGATTACCACATCTCACATAATGCGCGAGTTTTGAGTGTATTTAAAAACTTCAACAATATGGTCTCCATCCCCATTACGAGTAGTAAGTAAAAAATTCGATAAAAAAAATCTGGTATATGTAGCACTCCCTTCATTTCCTACCATCCATTTCCGTTAATTTAGTCGTTAAAAACCAATATTTTAAAAATCGATTCGAGCATTGATTTGAAAAAGGATAATGGCCAAAGGTCAAATCGGACGTCGAAATTAAATAAATAAATACACATAAAACAACAAAATATAATAACAATTTTTTTAAAAAAAATTTGGTGCTGCTAATTCAAAATAAATATAAATTCATTTCTATCAATTAATTGAAAAACGTTGTTAAATATTGTTAAATATAGTAAAATTTGAAAAAGAATAATCGTATTTGTGATCCCAAACTTTTTATTTTTTTACAACTTAGACACAAATGTTTTATACGTGTTAATCACAATTCCAAACTTTTAAAGTTTTGTTTTTTTTTTTTCCCAATTTTAAAGGATAAAATGGTAATTTTATATTATTTCATATAAAATAATTTAAAAGAAACACACAAAAAATCCCCAATACGCCACGCCACATCTTCTTCCACCAAAAAAAAAAAAAAAAAAAAAAAAACCAATTAAATGCAATTAATCCAAAATCAGAAGTCTGTTTTTTGAAGATCTGCATTAGTTGTCATAAAGATTAGTACATGCCAATAACGGTAAGATTTCTAGAATGGCTTCATCTCAATCCTCAATTTTCTCCGAAATAATGAAAGGCTGTTTCCCTTCCACTCAGTAAACGGTAAACCATTTTTCATATCCCCAGTTTTCATTTTCTACTTTCACCGTACGCAATCTATCTGATTCGTTTTCTAATCCCTACCCAACATATACATACACAAACATATATACTGTTACGGGTTTTTCCAAGTCATCTCCCTCGTCAAGGGACGAATTGAATACAACCGCTGCATGGAGGATGAACTAGATTCATTCTCCACCTGGACGAACTGAATATGACCGTCACGTGGATTCATCCTCCACTTGGGATAAACTCATTTCACCGTCGCCACGAATCGGACGAACTGATTTTGTTTCGTCACGTGGGGGACGAACTGATTTCATCTGTCGCCCTGGCCGATGCAAAGGCCCGTACTCCACATCCCTTCGTCGCAACCAAAACTAAGTCCGGAATGATGACATCCAAAACTCGATTAACACTCATGCCACAACTGCTCCCCTTCAACCTTGTATACTAGAAGATCTTTTATGAAAAGATCTCAAGAACCAAATCCTTAGTATTGATTGATGGGATGTACGACAGACTCCAAAATGTCAAGTCAACGCCTTACAATGTCAGGGAGCATCAAATGAACCACCTACCTATGGATTGATGGATTGACATATAGGAAAAGATGGTTCGCCATAGATTCAAGACCACATGCTCTCCATCCGACGATTCTTCTCTTACACCCTTTCACTATAAAAACTCACACTTGCACTATAGGAGGTGGAGGTTGCTCCCTGAAAAGAGAGAAGCAACACGAGTCTTACATTATCACCATCCACACGTACACCACCACTAAAAATCACATTTCGGCGAATATCATCGATGGACGTCCCAGATTCTATCTACCAACTCACTAACTTAATCGTCAGAGTGCTCACGACCGCTTCCACCCCCATCGAAAAAGGCCACGAATGACTAATGGTGTGTTGTTACGTGCAAGCTAGAGCTCATGTGGAAGAACTTTGATGGTCACGTGTTTGGGTCATTTTTTGGGGTCAACGTATACATTGAGAGAGAAGGTGAGTATTTTTCTCCCTCTATACACAAGTTTATCTCTCTATCAAAATCACTGTCCTAAACCTCCCTTCTTTGTATCTTTAATCATAGACACGTTATAGTGAGGAAGCAAGTAGGTATTTTGTTGTTGCTGTAGTTATTATTTTAGGAGATCTGCTATAGGGCCTAGCTAAATGACCGGGCCCAAATACAGGTGCCGAGGTGGCGCAATACAACTGGAGGGGAAGCTGATCGAAGTCAGCCCCCCTTCCAATTACAGGGCGCCACCTTGGCACCCTGTCATTTGTTCCAGTCATTGAGCCGGGACAAATGGTTCAGCCCTTATTTTAGTTCATCGATTGATTAAGAAAACTTGGCAAAATTAATTATTAAATTTTGACATGAATGGAAGAGTTTTGTAAGTTTTTGTCCGGGGTGATGAAGAAGATAAAGTGGGATGGGGAAGAAAGTAAAATTTTAAATAATGAGGATTGTAATTTGGACATTAATTTGTAAAAAAATAAGAAGCTTGAGGTCGTAACTACAATTATTTATTTTCAATTTTAACAATTTTTACTGTTTGTTACTGTTAAACTAACAGAACTGGATTGTATGAGGGTGAATCACACTTCAAAGTTCATATATGAGGTTTTTCTGAACCTCAAATGTTGTATTCCACACTCAATGTTTCAAAAAGGAACGTTTTATGCGATTTTTAATGGATAGAGGATATATTGTACATCATTGCCTTTTTTGCTGTCAAGTCAAAATTAAAAATTTAAAATCATGAACAAGGGCATGTAGGGGTGAGCATGGTTTGTGTTGGTTTTTGCCTCAATCCAAACTCAATCGAATCCAACATGATCGGTTTGATCATAATTTAATCCAATCCAATTCGTGTAAAGGTTGAAACCCAACTCAACCAAATCCAACTCAATCAAGTATCGGTCGGGTTGGGTTGAGTTGGTCGGTTTGAAACAATTTGTCAACAAAAACTAAAGTAGGCGGATGAGGTTGGACGGATTTATAATTGACTCGTGACTTATATAATATTAGGTCTCCATAGGTGCAACGAATAAAAAATCTAAATTATTTTGGTACTTCATGCCCGAAAATGTTACATGAACGATTGATATTAAATTATATGAAGTCAATAAATGTTTTTGGCAATTAAAAAGATGAGCATTTATTAAATTTACTCAATCTTATAATATTATTCTAAGAGTTTTCAAGCAACATCATAACACTTGTACAGTTCATAAATATAGTCGAGTCGAGTTTATTCTATTTTCATGAGTTAACACATAATCCGACTCAACCCAACCCGCCTATACAACCAGCCCACCAAATCAGTGTAAAAACAACAAAAAAAACCAATCCAAACCGATCAAGTTGGTTCCATTTGGGCAATTTTGGTGGGTTCGGTCGGAAGGGCGTGTACGTCATTTCACTGTACCTGCTACCCGCTTGAAAAGGTCCGAATTCCCAGCACAAGCAAAGGATTCACACAACAGCAACACATTTTCT